GGAACCAGGAACTGGGACCTGGGAACTGGGAACCAGGAACTGGGACCTGGGAACTGGGAACCAGGAACTGGGACCTGGGAACTGGGAACCAGGAACTGGAACCAGGAACTGGGAACCAGGAACTGGGACCTGAGAACCGGGAACTGGGAACCAGGAACCGGGACCTGGGACCCGGGAACCAGGAACTGGGACCTGGGAACCGGGAACTGGGAACCAGGAACTGGGACCTGGAAACTGGGAACCAGGAACTGGGAACCAGGAACTGGGACCTGAGAACCGGGAACTGGGAACCAGGAACCGGGACCTGGGACCTGGGAACTGGGACCCGGGAACCAGGAACCGGGACCTGAGAACCGGGAACCAGGAACTGGGACCTGGGAACCGGGACCTGGGAACTGGAACCTGGGAACCAGGCTGGGAACTGGGAACCAGGAACCGGGACCTGAGAACCAGGACCCGGGAACCTTGCCGGGACCTGGGAAACGGGCCTGGATCCTCCTCAACCCACGGCCATCTTTCAGTTTCACTTCCTAAACCAAAGTTATTTTTGGATTGAAGGTGAATGTTGGTTCTGCTTTTGGGAGGAGAACCCGAACGGTTTGGTTTGCCGCGTCTGCAGGTTTCAGCAACTCAAGCTCAAGACTTTTATGAAAGGAATTTAAGACTAAAGAAATGTACAAACTTCATCCAACCCATAAAATTACATTTACCCAAAATAGGCCTAAACAAGCTAACTAGCTAGCTAGCATGGGTATTAGCAGTGGGTCACAGAATGAAATGAAGATTTCTGCGTGACTCAAACTTTTACCTGACAGAAAGATCCAATGAGAAAGAAAATACATAGACTGTCTGAGATTAAATATCATTAAATGTTTTGTATTCTATGAATTTGATCCGGCTCCATTTAAAACCAACTTATTTTTTAAAATAGATTTAAGACATTTTAAGGCCTTAATTGTAAATAAATGAATAAAAGACTTTAGCTGTGGTTCTGACCCAGACCCAGCCTGTTGTTGGCTCATTAGTTGGTCCTGATTGGTTCTGATTGGTCCAGACCCTCTGATCTATCTTCTCTGTTCTGGACCGCTCCAGGGGTCAGTCCTGGCCACGAGTTCACCGCCGTCATCCACGCCGTCTCGCCGCTCGTCTCCCAGTCTCAGCCAATCATGAAGCTGCTCCAGGTGGTGTCCAGGTCCAAGTACTGCTCACAGGTAAAGAAACGGACCCGGCTAAAGAATTCACTCTGACCCAAACACCGGGCAGCGTGACGCTGCGGGCCGTCGTTTTGTAGCAATCAAAATAAAAAAAGACATTTTAGCATGAGATAAAAAACTGAGTTTTATTTTTCAAAGTTATAGTTTCACCATGTGATTCATTCGTTCATTAATCTCCCAATTTCAAACTAAATATTTAGTTTATACTCCAGATGTTTGGTTCATGAATTAATGAACAATGTGGTGAAAATAACTGAAGAATGAACCTCAGGATAAATATAATAAGATAAATATAATAATAATAATATAATATAATAATAACCGAACGACGGCTGTTAGTTTTTCACTGTGTAACGTTTCAGACGGCGCCCCCTGTGGGTCGCCCTGAGAAGATCTCCGTTCATCCTCTGATGATCGGATCCAGTTGGTCAGAATTGGTTCTGGAACTGGTTCCTCCTGCAGAGTGAATCCTGAACCAGTCCCAGCTGGACCTGAGCCAGGTTCTAGAGGTTCTGGTGCTGATCCGGTCTCTGCTTCCAGATCATCATCCTGTGGAACAGCGAGAAGCCGCCGCCCAGCCGCAGCAAATGGCCGCCCATGCCCGTCCCCCTTGTCGTCACGGACGGCAGGAGGAAGGTGAGAGCCGTGATGTCACTTCCTGTTTGTTCCACAGCTGCGTCTCACCAGCTCTTCTCCTGTCAGACCACCAGCCGCTTCCTGCCTCACGTTGCCATAGAAACGGAGGCGGTGCTGAGCCTGGACGAGGACACAGTGCTGCTGACCAGCGAGGTGTGAGGAGCTGGACACACACACACACACACACCTACACACACCTCCACACACCCACACCTACACACACCTACACACACACACCTACACACACACACACCTACACACACACACCTACACACACACACCCCACCAATAACACTACAAACCAGCTCCACTGAATCACCCAGGACTGATTTCTGACCCGGTCCACTTTTCTATAAACTCTGGTCCGGTTGGTGAGGTGTGAACTCTAATTGACCTCTGACCTCTGGTCCTCCACACCTCAGTCTGGGTTCGGTTTGAATGTAAACGCCAAGTGGACCGGAGACCGCTCCAGAAGCAGGAAGTGAACTACAGCGCAGGGCATTCTGGGTAAATGCAACCAAAGCTAACGTGCTAGCCTAGCGCTAGCAGCTGAAATGTCAGTGATGTTGGATAAAATGCGACGTTCAGACTTAAAAAGTATCAGATTTATTTCCACATGTGGAAGAGGATCAGATCAGATTTTGTTTTGGGTGAAATGATCAGAACCTGAATGATCGGGTTTAGGAAGCAGAAGGTTTCAGAACCAGAACATCTTGGATACAGTCTCACATGGTGGTGGTAGAGTGATGCTCTGGGACTGCTGCTTCAGGACCCGATGTTGATGATGATGATGATGATGGAACAATGCATTGTGTTGCTGC